TGTTGTAGAAGACCTTGTCCAACATGTCAGGGTTCAAACTTTGGAGTTGTCGCAGATTTGAAACGAGTTGTGCCAAGATCACGCCGATATGACCTTACCGCGTAGGCCTTGTAATTTTGAATGCTAACGGACCTAGCCACTGTCATGGTGCAACCATGCAAAAGCGTTAAAGACTCATGCACCTAAAACCTTAAATCAAAGTGCCCCACCCTCTGTTAGCCCCCTGACCTTCCAAATCCTTAAAGCCTTGCTCCTTGTGACTTCTAGTTCAGGCAGGGGTTCCTCTAACCATCCCCATGCGCAACCCCCAAATTGTATTTAACAGGCCCTAATCATCCTGGGTAATTAGCTTCAACTGGCAACCTAGGGGTTTAGGGTTTGGGGAGGGGGAGGTATGGTCAGCTTGCAGGTCAAGTTCTCGGGTTTAAAGTTTAGGGCTTAGGGGTCACTGGAACCACAGGATTGAGATGTCGAACTCAAAGCAGTACCTTGTGCCTATGGGGTCTTTTCCTGCCTGCTGCATCTTGCTGCTGACCAGTGATGAAAACCTACCGATCACAGCCTCTTGAACCTAACCCCCCAAGGTCAACGAGGCACATGATTGGCACATGAGACTTGGCCTTGGCGTAGTAATATACCAGAGCCAAAGAAGCTTTTATTTTCAACAGTATCCCTGTAATGAGCCAGTGATCAGGGTCACCAGAAGAATCCTACACCCTAAGCCCCTTTTAGCCCCAAAAAGGGGTCCCTACCTCCCTGACTGACATATGCAAGCAAACTCAAACTCTGAGGCAAAAACCATGGACTCTTAGTGTGGGGCCCTTAATCTGAAGGTTTCTTTTTATATTCCCCGGTATATACCCTGCACATCGCCTTCCTTATGGAACCCGCCTGAAAACGGGGTACGGGCCAACATGAGAGGTCCATAATTACTCCCAACACTCTTCCAAAACCCCTAAGCCCTTAACCCTAACCAGGTCCATCCTCCCAATCTTCGGCCAAAACCTGAACCGATTCACGCATGTGCTTTCAGTCGACCTTGGAGAAGTGCGGACCTTCCGGATACTGCCTCAGTTCCGCATGAGTCAGGATCTAAGGTTTAGGGCATCAGGGAATTGCTGAAAAATATTGGTTCCCGTTCACTGCCCCAAACTGATGGGATTTTGATGGATTTTGCAATCACTGCAGAGGGGAGCCAGATTGCCGAGAAACTCCCATTAAAGGAGTGGTTTCAAGGTTCTCGTTGCTAGGAAGAGTACTGCATGCTGAAAACTATGTCAGTCCAACCCCACACGTTTCGTGGAAGTCCTCATTGGAAGGGTTCTCAGTTTTAGGGTTTTAGGTTCTCCGGGTAAAGACCGCCCCCCATTTCTACACAGCCTTGGACCACCAAAGGAGCTGCGCTCACACCAAAACACTTCGAGGCGTGCTTCAGCTCAAGACCTAAGCCCGAACCTCACAACCAGCAGTGATAGTGATATGCAGAGGAAGATATTCCAAAAAGTAGCCTAAACCCTAAATCCCAAACCCTAAGCCCTCAACCCCAAACCCTAAACTCTACACAACAAGGGGAAATATTCCAAAAAGTAGCCTCAAACCCTAAACCCTGAATCCCAAACCCTAAACCCTAAACTCTACGCAAAAAAGGGAGTGACTCTGAAGGAGGAGTTGCTCTGAAGTGTCCGTCAGAAAGTAAAACGCAGGGCCGCTCACGGAGAGGTGCAGCCTGGCAACTGATCCGGGGTAATATTGGTATAATGGAAAAGAAAATGGAAACTATAGGGACTATAGGGTTTATATAGGGGTTATGTAGGGGATATATTGGGGTAATATAGGGATAATGGAAAAGAAAACGGAAACTACTATGAGCCTTTTAAGGTCTAGGGTTTGGGGTTTGGGATTTAGGGTTTGGGGTTTAGGGTCGAGGGTTTGGATTTGGGGTTTAGGGTTGAAGGTTTGGGTTTGGGGTTTAGGGTTTGAAGGTTTGGGGGTCTTATAGTAATCTTCATTCTTTCTGGCTTGGTAGGGATCATGTAGGGAATAAGGGTAATGCAAATTCGAGACATCTTGAAACTTACCCCTGTGAATCCAAGGTTCTCAACCTCTTTCATTGGGAATCAGGTAGTTCTCATATACTACAAACAATCATGCGGGAGGTTAATCGTCAGAGGTAGAAGGGCAGGTACTGGGAACGTGCTTCCTCCCATACGAGCTACAATCAATAATTCCCGTACAAGTATCGGACATGCATTCCTATTCAGGAGTACATTAGTGACTATACTGAACGACTGTCGGGACCCCTATGTTCCCTGGTCCATGGGTAAGCCTAATATTGGCAATAACTCACATTTTTCTTCCATCGTTCTGACAGCCGTGCCTTCGGTTAGGACCACAATCTACAGGATGCATTAGGATTGAGGCTTATTACAGCAACCATAACACGCAAGTTGTTATGACTTAGGAAGAGGCAACACTGGCAACGAAACGGGCTTGGGAGCTTCCGAAGTCTCAATGCCTAAAGAGTGGAAGAGCCTGCAATGCACCCGCGCCCATGCAAGTATTCAGGAGCTCCAAAGCGCAGGAAAACTTTAACTTTAGCGCTGAGGTTTTATTGCAGCCCTGCAGTTCCCCAGCCAACGAGAACCTACGCAAACTGCAAACTCTAGCGCAGGGGCTGAAAAGACTAGAATATATGTTCGGGGTATATGTTAAACTGCAATCAGACAGGGATAATGAGGGGATGGTTCCACACATCTGCCCGTGACAAGGAACGACGTCTGGATCAGAGTGAAGGCAGCAAACTTGGCAATGACGGGTGAAAGCAGCATGATGAAAATGAGGAGAACCTGCAAGTGCCATGATCGATTTGGCGGGCTTTAAAAAATCAGGCACGGGCGAGAGGGGGGGGGCACATTCTGCGGTAATTCTACAACGCTTTAAGAATACGTAATCTGAGAAGCTTCCCATGGCATGCTTTCAACTAATCTCCTCTCTAATGATAAGCCCCACCCTCCTCATAATATGGTTCTCAACATGACGCTCTGATCTAACAGGGTAACTCTTCATTCTCAAGGGGGGTTAGGGGTTGGCTAAACCATAAGCCCAAAGCCCTAAACCCTCATCTATCAGTGGGGAGCGGGCTACATGGTCTGCAAGGACTTCTTGGTCCAATGGGAGAATTTTCTCAATGCAGAGAGAAGGGGAAGCTTAAGGAGCATCCATCTCTATTTAGGGGGAATTTTCTTACCCTAACCCCTGAAATGAAAACCCCAGCTGTCATATGTCTATTGTAGGATCCTTCTACTTTTAGGGGTTAGAGAGTGAACCCGCAGGTCGTGTGAGGATTTAGCGGCCAAAAGAACGACCAACATTCTGTCGAGGTCTTCGTGAGGTACCGTAAAACGTCATGACACTGGGGTTCACGAAGCGCAACATGGGTAATTATCATTGTAACCCTTTTCAAGTCTTACATGATCTCAGCTTCCATTTCGTTTTCTATTTTTCAATTTGGTTCTCGATTATTCTATCTATTCGAGCCCCTAAGCCCAAACCCAAAACTGCGTGGAGGTTGGGAATGGTTTCGAGGTTTCGAACCTGGACGGGCCAGGCTGTCGCTTCCAAAGGACACCCACATGGGTTTCCATAAACAGGGGACCTCAAAGTAGACCGCAACACATATTAGGGTTTAGGGTTTAGGGGTTAGGGCTTAGGGTTTAAGGTTTCCAAAGCTCCGGGCTCCAGTTTTGGATTACAAAACATTAAGGGCTGTCGTATATTGTGGTAGCCAAAAGCACCTATCTTTCTGGAAACTCCGACTGAACAGCATGTCACCAAAATGGCCACAGGCCCAGTTCCCTTTTTGGTCAGGATCTCCCTTTGAGAAAATGTAGCCCTAAACCCTAAACCCTCTTTCAAAGGACCGTTAGAACACCGTCTAAGTAGACCAGGGAACCACAGCCGCAGCTAGAAGCGCCGCAGCAGCCTAGCTAAGCGACATGAGTGGTGCGTCTTTGGTTGGGTCACTCCCCCTTACAGTAATTGTCGTTAAAGGAAATCGAGGAAGGGGCCATCGTTACTCCTAATGCCTGTGTGGCAGCTGTTACTGTAGGGAGGAATGACTTAATCTTGGTTGCTTGAACCAAGCTACAAGACCACAACTACAAGCGAGACATAATCTCACTCTTTGTGGGAGAGGATAGTATCCCCAAACGCAATACTACCACATGTCATAGGGGCTTTGTTTTGGGGATTCTGGATACTGTAGAGAATTGCATTGTTAGGCTTCTTGCTTCTAGGTCTTGCTTCCTGGTGCTTGCCAAGTAGGGAAGGGAGGAATGGACAAGGTAATGGACACCAATACATTATTGGGGGTTGTATGGCGGCTACTGTAGCGCATGCCCCTCTGACAGTCGGTAAGTTCGAGGAGGGTCGTCGCAAAGCAGGGATTGTAAGACGAACGCCTCTAGGGCTTGCTGCAGTTTGGGTTTTAGGATTTAGGGCTTAGGATTTGCAATCATCTCCAGCTTCACTGTCAGCTTTTCCCAGGAAGTGGAAGAGCAACAACACTCCGGGGATTATGGCTACCCAACCCCCACAAGAAGGATGCTATGACTATCGCATGATTCTTGTACGGTCCTCGTTGTAGTGTTTGGGGATTGAAAGTCCTCTTGCTTAAGATTCCCTAAACCTTGACCCTAAACCATATAATATGTCCCTATATACCCCGCTAGGCCCTAGATAACCCCTGTAACTCCCCATGAAATTGAGTTTTCATGTCCTCAGTCTCCACTAAGCACCAAGGCTTCCGCGCAGGCCCTTCAACCTGAATCTCTGAACCCTAAACCCTGAGCCATAATGTAAACTCCATCAAGGGGGGTATATAGGGGACTATTATAGGGCTTACAATGGGGGACACTAGGAATTTAGACTATAGCTCGTGTCATATCACTGAGCCTGAGGCACATTTACAGCCGGCCGCGTCGTAATCGCTGCTACAGCACTGAGCATCATCGAAGCTCCGCACATCACGCAGGCCAGGGTGAAGAACTCCTGGTTTCCATTTTCTTTTCGGTTATCCCTATGTATCCCTATATTCAGCGAGGATGGAAAAGAAAATGGAAACTACTATAAGGATATATAGGGATATATAGGGATATGTAGGGAGAATGGAAAAGAACATGGAAACTTCTATAGGGAATGTATTATAGGGTTTAGAGGTTTAGGGTTAAGGCTTTAAGGGTCATGGGGTTTAGGGTTTGCTATGGCATCATGAGGGCTGAAGGTGTTGGATGGTAAATTTTTGAATGGATCGACCCAAGACGGTTGGATTAAATGGGTTGACTTGAAATCAGGTAGCTGTTCGGGATAGCTCGCGGTATCAGAACCTTATGGTGCTCATTGCTAGACGGTTGCTTACAATCCCCTGAACCTTCTTAAACCTTTTTTTTCTTTTGCATCCTCTTGAATAGGAGGTAAGAGTCTCAGGTTTCAGGGTTTGAGGATTCATGGGCTTGGCTTTCTTGAAGATTTGCGTGTTAAGCACTTGTGAATCACAAGGGTACCCTACATTGCTGTTGTGGGATGACATGAAGAAAAGACGCAGTGTGGCTGATTGACCTCAGTTACAGCATTGGAACTTTGGGTCCTTAAACCCTAACATTTTCTTTGAGCGTCCGTCACTTCAACTAAACACCACATGCCGCTGGGCCGAACAGCAAGCGCCCGAATTTAGACAACTTCACTTGGGAAGGTTCCGTACACAGCAGGGCCCACTATAAACCGCAACACGCTATAATGCTATATTCCTCATTAGGGGGACTCCAAGAAACGGACGCCTAATTTGGGAAACCCTATACCCAATGTAACCCTTTTTATAATCCTCAACATCCCTACGTCATGAAAACTTTAAAGGGGCACCTGACTATTGGAAGCCCTGATTTGAAAGCTAGGAAGCACAATTCGACAGAGACCGGAAAAGTTGGAGGCAGGCAGTTTCAGGTTTAGGGTCGTGGGGTTCAAGGTTTAGTGTGCTAGGGGTTCAGGGTTGGCGTGGTTAGGGCTTGATGGGCCCATCTGCAAACGGGGAATGCAGGAATGGAAAGAAATGGAAAGTACTATTCAGGGCTTAGGGCGTAGGGTAGAACTTGGGTGTAAGTTAGGTCAATCCCCACTAGAGGAATGGCTCCTTAATATGGAGTTATAAGGGTCTTAATATACCTACAATGTTCCCTTGTGGTACCCATTACTGGGTGGGGGATTGACCCTAGGTGCAGGGTCTATGACTTTCAAGCTAGAAGCTGGAAGCAATTGCGAGCGATGCTCAGGAAGACATGCCTATATGACCTCTTCAGCTCCGGGTATCCTTTTTCTCTTCTCTAGAGTAGGTTTGGGGGTCCTACAAATATGCAAGTTCGTGGCCTTAGAGGGTTATCTTGGGATGAAGGGTGATACAAGTAATTTACAACCACCCCTGCGTTGTTGAAAGACAAGATCACTTCGGTTTTTGCAGGTGAGCATTGGAAGCTGGAAGCCCTAAACCGTACTTTCTACGGGGCCATGCTCAAGTTTTTGACCGGGACTTGGCGTAACTATGAATGGCCTTCTGCCGAAAGATCTTGTCGCGCCCGGATCGAATTTCAGCAGCACCTGCTACTTGAAAGAAACAGGTTCTTCCATGTTTGTTCACTCCTTGCTTTAAGGGACCTCACGAGCTTTGTGGTTCAGGGTTTAAGATGATCAGTTTAACTCCAAGCACCTCTGCGGTAAGCTTACTGCAGGCTTGGATGGTTCAAGTTTCGCTACGATGGCACGCCTGAATGATCAACGATCAGATCACTGATTTCAGGTGGGCATGTTACCTGAAGGTCACAATAAGAGCGGGTTAATTCTAATAACCATTGGAAGTCTTGACGGCACATATTCGGTCCCTTTCAAGTTTCTACAGTGGCCAGCAAGACACTTTGTACCTTGAGTTCTTTATACAGCCTGGCTGCTCCATTGCCCTGGAAAACGACTGTTTCCCATAAGAGCTATAGTCTAAACTCCTAGTATCCCCCTTAAGAACCCCTATACTAGTCCCCTATATAATCCCCTATATATCCTCCCTTTAAGGAGTTTAGAATATAGCTCATAAGAACTCCACAACAGTTAAGTCAGGAGCCCTCAGAGCCTCACAAGGAATATTGATCTTTGTTGACCTGAAGAAACTCCTTTGCTGTCCGAGCCCTTTGTGGGCCGGAGAAAACCAAATATCTACTGGGGGTATAATTCACCCCAGTGGGGTAACGCACTTAGGGGGAAATTATGAATAGGGTTTTAAGCTTAGTAACTGGTAGGTACTAAGTCCCATGAACATCTCCGTAATTTTGTGTACCTTCCGGTAGTATTCTGGGCAACTTCACAGAAGCTTCGGGATACAAGCTGCTTCCAATATGCTTCTGGTTGAGACACCCAAAAGCCTAAACCTAAGATTTCAGAACCTCCTTTACTATGGCGACCCACACCAGGGATTTGAAATGACATCTGCTTCCCGTCACGACCTCCGGGCACTCTAGCACTTGCTTGGGAATCTTACTTGAAAGACCTGAAAACTTCGACTCTCCACCCCAAAGTCCGACTTTAACGCTCTTTGCCTTCCATGCACCGTGGGCGGCAGCTCAAGAAAGGGAACTTCAAGTGAGGGATTGCGATTTCGCGCACTTTTTGGATATACTTTTGTTAAAGTATGAGGGGCCATGTTTTTGACAACTCGGCAACTTCGTGTGGATGATCGCCCAATGATACGGCAGTCTGTATTGTGCTTACTCGGGCATGCTGGAATGGGCTATTGATGATGTATTTCTGTATAAGCACCAGACGGGATTCTAGTTAAGGACTAGTTTGCAATATGGTTGGGCTGAAATCCTAGACCCTCAACTCCCAACCCTAAGCACTAAACCCTAAACTCCCAACCCTAAACCCTAAACCGGGGGGGCTTATAGGGGGAAACACGTCCACCTGAAATTTCCTTTGATCATACGCTATACTGCAAACAGTAGCTGTGAATGCTTGCCAATAACGCCACCCTTCCTTGTCTCCTCCCTTGTCCAGGATAGCACGAATCCTTGACCCTGAGCCCATAACCCTGAAAATTGAACCCTGAACCCTGCACCCTAAATCGTGAACCTCAACGCCAAACCCTGAACCCTAAACCCTGAACCCTGAACCTGTAATCCTAAATCTAAGCCCCAACCTCCAAACCCCAAACCCTAAACAGCATAGCTTGCAACCTCGGCGCTTTTTTTTGTTTCCTCCGTTGTCCAAGACGCCACAAGAGCTGGTAGTGCAAACGCAGCGACCAGGATGTACATGGCACGAGCGCCCAAAGACCTTTCGGAAGGATTAGGGTTAAGATTCTAGCTAGGGTCCATCTAGACAGATATGCACTGGCCACAGCAGAACCTAAGCTTGAGCAAATGTGGGACTGTTTCTATATAGCCACCAGTTAGAGTGAGGCTGAATGAGGTCATTGGATCTGCTTATTATATACGGCCTTGTGTTTTTACAAACAGTGGAACCTGATTTACAGGCTAGCTGTGCATCCCGCAGGCCTCGTCCTAGTAGTTATCCTTCTTATCTGAAATGTTTGTGAATACTTCCATCTGTAATCCTTCTTTTATGGTTTCGGGGCTGAGAGCCTTGGGATTTCGAATTCATAGGTACAGGTTTTGGAGGCCTATGATTCTTGACTTGCCACGGTTGCTTGATTTTGTAACGGGTGTCTTGTCCGATCATGCATTTGAGACTGAGGCCTATTCGCCAGCGAGATGGACCCCCCTGCCCAAAGGGGCGAGTCTATGTTCTTTTTGGTAAAACCTGCATGCAGAAGCCCGAGTACTCTCCGTCGATAATCCCAAAATCTCTTTAAATACTTCGAGATATGGGAGTTTCCCCAAATTAGGGGTACCATTTTGGGGGTCCCAATAATAAGGACTTTAGTATTTTGGGGTCTATATTGGGTTCCCCTATTTTCGGAAAGTACCATATAATTATCACACTTCAGGCTCTCAACCATGACCTCTGCATCCTAAAGACGGCTTAACGCTTTCTACAACTCCTTGGAGTCCAAAGCTGCATGATGAAAGGATGGCTTCTACGAGTGGCTTCGGAGCACCAAGTTGCACAGCTTCCAGGAGGATGGGGTTTAGGGTTCAAGGTTTAGATAATCTTCCCAAGTTTTCAACATTTTTGCAGCACAGCCTCCACCTTTAAACCCTATAACCCCGCTTCTCATAAGAGCTTCGACCTTTGCCTGAAACCTCGAACCCCAAGACCGAAGCGTCTCAATCTTAAATCCCAACAGACTACAACCCGAAACCTAAGCCTCTCAACCCCTAAATGCCCTAAACCCTAAAACCGAAGCCCCAGATGCCCTAAACCCAGCCCAGATACGAAAGTGCGAAGCCAGAAACCACGCTAGCCAGCAAAGACCAGAGGGACATTCCGGCAAATACCTTCGGGTGATGTGGCACGCTTTTGCTTATAGAGGTCTGCAGTCCCCCTGAAGTACATAGAATATGGGGTATGTGGGGATCTTATTCTAATATACCCAATGCCATATTCTATCTACTTAAGGGCGACTATAGGGGCTTGGGGCTGCAAAGGCAACGCTACGAATGGGGATAAGTCAACTTGTTGATATGCGGGTTTCATAAATTGGGGAACCCCCAAACAGACCCCACTATACCATGGTGCTTAGGGACCCCCATTGTTGTGACAGGAAAGGAACTGCGAGTGCCCCTACAGGTGACGAAGCCAAAGGACCCCCTATGATTTCTTGGGGTATGTAGGCAAAATTGTTTAGTTTGCCAGATTACTTACATGATCCCTTCAAGAACCCTTGTTGTCCAAGACCCTGAGCCTGAAATCCTAAAATCACATTCAGGCTTCTTGGGTTGTCAGGCAAGCGACGTAGGTGAGCAAGTCTTGTCCATGCTTGGGATGGTCCTGGCAGGATACCAAGTTTAGGGTTGAAAGCGTACGGGGTAAACCCAAAACCCAAAATCCTACACCCCTAAACCCAAAACCCAGAACCCTCATCCCCAAACCCTTACCTGGAAAGCTGAGGTCTCAATCCAATTACCGGCAACTCAAACCCAACAAGCCCAAACCCCCCCAGCTCATGGGTTCTCCTGCTACTACCCCCTTAGGTTTCCCCTCAATTAAAGTATTTAGGGATAATTAAGGCTAATTGGGGGGGTTGGTAATGGAGGGGAACCTATGACTAGCCCAACCCCGTGTAGGTTTTGAGATTTAGGGTTCGGGTTTGGAGCGTAACATGATCCTTACAGAGCTCCAGTGCAAACCGGGTGGGAACAAGTACTGCAAGGGCCTAAATCATCAGAGTCCGGTTCTGGGTTACACTATATTATATGATTTTGTATGTATTATATCTAAATCAGAATTGTCACGGAATACTGCTGGAAATTCATCAGGCATGCCCTAAAGGTCCCAAATTCTACAATTTACATACATCGCCCAAAACCTAAACCACAATTACTACCATTCGAATCCTAAAGTCTATGACTCTTGTATACTGAGCCCGTAGGATTGGTGTCGGAACACCTACTTGGAGGTTAATGGGACTTAGTAACTACTTACGGCTAGGTTTTAAAACCCGACTTACAATCCACTGAAACTGCCTTATATGGGGCATTCCTAATGATAAGTAGGGCTAGAGCCCCAACTATAAGTGCACGCTAAATCCCATGAACCTCCAAGTAACAGTCTCTGTGTCTGGCCTGAATCTGCCGAGAGTATAGAGCCTCGGTGAGAAGATCATCTGTGCCTGCGGATTTGGTTACGTGTCAGCGACTAGCACCATGAGGGCTGTGTTATGGTGAAAGATGACTACATTCGCCATTTGTATTGGGAACTATAGGATCTCCATGAATGATGCTACTCACATGGTTCCTGGAAGGAAACTGTTCGACCGAAGATGGTTGGCCAGAAAACATTCCACAAACCTTTTCTGAAGGCTACCAACGCTAAACTTACTGGTGCTTACGGGAGAGCGGGGCAGTCGATCCCTATAATCAGCCTTGAATAATCACCAAAAACCGCCTAAAATGGTCCCTATATTCACTCCCCCACTCGGCCTTAAGCACTCGTAGGTAAACCCTCAAGCAATCAAACAGGCCAGTGGTTGTTCGTCACATGTGTGACTGCCACGATATTTTTCAACATGCTAGTCGCTTGCACCCCATATTCTCCTCTATGTCTCTATCCATCCCAAATAATATGGCAATTGTTCAAAATACCTGTCCCCAAAATGGCCATAATGTAGGTTCCCTGTTTGGTTAGGATCCCCTTTTCAAGGAAGTGTATTCCCAATGGTCCCTCCTTTACAAGGACCTTTAGAACAACCCCCACATGTGAAGCGAGCCCTTCTGTCTGCCAAGTTGCAGATCATGAACTCGACCAGAAAGAGGCAAAGGACAAGCCTTTGTCAAATCCCATTCTCAACTCTCAGCCCTAAATCCTTACCCCTAGGCCCTAAACCCTCAACCCCTAAATCCCAAACCCTAAAGACGAAAAGGGCTCAGCCAGCTCGAAATCCTAACCTCCCACTACTAGACCCTGAGTCCGTGCTTGGGATGGCTTATATCGACTTGGACAATTCATTCAGCGTTTAAGGTTCGGGATTCAGGGCTGAGGCTTTAGTGCAAGTATGATCCAATTAGCAATTGCACTTTTTAACACAACAATATGACTCCAAAATCGCCCAAGGTAGTTCTATGTAGGTTATAAATTAGAAGTAGCAGGTATAATTGGTCTACAGTTACCCTGAACCTTTAAAAGCACTCAACATGGCATGGGCACTGTAAGCTGCCACACAGCATGTCAGGGATACCAACATTCTATTAGAAACCTCGGACTTGCTTCTTCAGGTCGTGTTACTTGCCTCTAGTGGAAAGCGTATGGGATGTAGGAGTATGTATGGGAGTAGATACCCCATTCAAAAGCTTTCCTGCTTCCTCACCCTCTACATCTTGAACCGTGAAGGAGCAAGATATGAGAACAACATGATTCACATGAGGGATATGCCTTGACAGGTTCCACATGGAGATATCACTTGAAATCGTATTCAAACCCCCATTTTGGTTTTTTTTCTGGAACTGTTTTCAACGATGACCCAATTGAGTAGTTCCAGGGTCCTGGATATGACTTACGTTACGTTTCGTCTTAAGGGGTATTGGGCTCTCTGTGGAGCTCAACACAAGACACAGACCAGAGCCAGCCTTGCATGCTGGCAGGAAAAGGCTGTCCCCTGGGGTGGTTCAGAACAAACTTGCACCAACACCCGGCCATTTCTAGTCGCTTCATGAAAAATCGAAGTTGCGCTGGAAGGACGTCGAGAATGAATATTTGCACAAGGTTGTTCGACAATGCTACCACAGGAGTATGACAACTTCTCATGCTTGACAAAGTTTGCCGGTTTCGCAAAGCTCGCGTCGAAAAGCTGCCACTAGAAATCTTTCACATCCTCTCTCCTATAACAACACATCACCTGCGACAGCTTTGATTTCAATACTATAGTTTCCGTTTTAAGCCGACAGCAAACTATCTGAAAACAAGTTTGTCTCAGTTTGCAGGTTCAGGACATCTCAAAATCTGAAACCAACCCTGCACAACTTGCGCCGCGCCGCATCCGCAGAGGCGTTGCAACCAAACCCACAATCAAGGCAGCAGCAATCCCAGCACCAGTGGTAAGTAGCATATACGGCGCCTGCACGGGCTTGTTTCTCTGTTAGCATGACTCGTGAGTTTGACGTGCATCTCCTGTATAGACTGTTCGTGATCTCTCTGTATTAGCAACGACTGGTGCAACCCAGAAATAAATGTGGACCGTGATTTGGATGAGAAAAGGCATCAGACAAGTCAATGTTGTCATGTCTAGTGTGCACTTTGGTGCAATTGTGTTGCTGAGCTCCAGAACGAAGGCGGCGTTGGAAACGTGAAGTTTACTGATTGCTTAGTAGGGATGGTGGAATGAATTCAGGAGCGACCCCCTTATATCATTTAGGGCTTAGTTAGGGTTTGGGTGAGCAACTGCCTCAAGTCTTTACAGCATGAATTGTAGAAACTTTTCTCGAACACGCAACTCGTGTGCACCTTGTGGTAGCCGTTGATGGGGAAGAGGTCGCTGGTCAAACCCAGCATTGGCTTCATGATGTATGGGGAGAAAATCCTTGGCAGTCATGAGCTACCCACTTAATGGCATGCTAAATGCTTCAGAGTTCTGATTCTAAGGGCTTGGTTTCTTATACTACCCTTTAGAACCACGTCTACGAACCATGTAGCTAATTCCAAGCCCACCCACCCTTAACATTAAATCCTAAGCCCAACACTGTATTACAAGGATGGACTGCAAAGCCAACCCTCAATAAAGATTCCAGGATTAATGGTGCTTGTAGCGGAGCTGGAAATGGAAAAGCAATTGGAAGTCACTACATGAATTCGGGTTCAGGGCTCAAACAGATTCGAGTTTTCGAGTGTATCTGAAAAGCAGACTCTGCGTCAGTAGGTCTTGTTGGCATTCCTTCATTCTGTAGCCTCTAAAGACAGACAGCTATGCAGTAACCAATGCGCCACAGCCAATGAGCTGGTATAATTAGCCCTGGTAGGCCCATGCATGAGCAACGCAGCAGGTACCACGAGGGAAAGCAACACCAAACAAATCTGGGGACATTTTCTTTTAATGGAGGGCCGCAATGTAGAGCCCAACAGCGGCCCTCAACGTTTGGACATCGCCGTCTGAAGCTGGAGAAACACCACATAACTTGCTGGTCCAGGGAAGGGTCAACGTCTTCAAGATTTGCATGTCCTGCGGAGGATGAAGATGTTCTGTACTTGAGCTTTGATCAGGAAAGTGACTTCTTCTGGTGTGCGTACTACGAGGTCCATGATAATTATAACCTACTCAAAATTGAATTTTCAACCCAAGTATGTCCCCACCCCGTACCTTAACATGATGACAATGTGATTGTAACTACTGTTATGAGTAGGTTACCCTAAACTACGTGGCACTTAGGACCCGTACCCTTAGGTACGTATAATAGGACAGTAAGGGAATCCCAACGGGTTAAGGGTCTAAGGTCTAATTTAAATCCCCGCAAGTAAACCCTAAACCACTGAACCTCCAGGTGAAAAATGCTTGGACCCAAGTTCTGAGAGACTTCTCCAGAATTAGCATTTGGAGTAATCGCCTCACCCTGCACTTAAACCCGCCCCAACCCCCTAGTATGCAGTGTTCCCATTGTAATATACTAGTAGATTTTGGGAATATCAGGGGTGCGGGAGGTTTTTAATATTAGAGGAGGAGATTATCATTGAGTGACGAAGCTAACTCACCACCATTTTGAATGGATGTTTTCATCCTGACAGGGAATGCCTGCGTAGCCCTGGTGAAGCAATTCTACCCAAAACCCAACACCCTATACCCTAAACCCCATACTCTAAACCCAAAACCCTATACTTCTGAACACAAAACCCTATACCCTAAACCCAAAAACTTATACTCTAAACCCTAAACCCTGTACTCTAAACCCCTATACCTGCAAAGATCCGAACACCTCGCTCTACATCCCAAACTTTGCAGTAGCTCAAACCGTCAACCCGGAAGCCTGGGCTCTAAATCCTGCATAGTAAACTTGCACAACCCTCAGAAAGGAAGAACCAGTATAATAATAAATAGGATTTTGGTAACCCCAACCCCCAAAATGAGGACCCTATAGTCATAGGGTCCTAATTTTGGGGGGTTGGGGTTACCAAAATCCCTTTTCACACTAAAAACCATAGAAGCAGCATAAGCAAACCATCTCGACAGCGTCTTTTCTTTGTAATCCCTATTACGATAGCTATTAAGCGGAGAGGGTTTATTAATCAAGCGTCTACATAAGGACCTTACCACAGTCAGACTAATTAAGGGAGTCACGCCCTCCGTT